AAAGAGTGCAGAAGCCTTGAGGTGGGAACAGGTTGGTGTATTAGAAAAACAGCGATAACTAGACAGAGTGTCTAGAGCAAAATGAGCAGGGTGGAGAGTGGGGAGGAGATAGCAGCTGTGGCACCTGGAAGGCCAGGAATGAAGCAGGTGCTAAGTGATTTACCCCCATTCACGTGATAAGTCATTGTTAAAGTAGGGAGTGAATTGAGGGCCCTGCAATTCTGGGCACCCTTCTCTCCTTATGGCCCCAATTCTCGTAAGGCCTAACTTCTCCTAGTAAGCTGAGCATTTAGGGAAGTATATAAATTCTTTCACACTATCAGCAAACCACTTAAGGCCTGAAAGAGTTTATGCACTTTCCAACTGCCTAATTTAATAGCCGGGGCAGCCTTAGGCATTGAGAGTACAATAGATATTTCCTGGGAATCATTGGTGACTAAAAGTCATAGACACCACTGGGATTTTATAAAGAAATTCTTGGAAGACAGAAGGATGATACTTTCAGACACCTTTGCAATTCAAGTTTTTACATCGTAACATTCTCATGATCCCATACCTTAGAGTATAGTCAAATAAATAAATAAAACAGGAAACTCTTTGGTGCAGTATTAAAATTCTTTAAAAACTAGGCTTTTAATTTTTTAAGTGCTTTCTCTGACCGTGTATTCCAGCACTTTATGCTCTGAAAAATAAGTGGTCTTCGTCCACCTCTTCCTGAGAACTTAAGGCTCAGAGAGCTCAAACTCCTCAGGCGGACCTGAGCAACAGGGTCAGAGTTAAGATCCAATCTGGGTCCCTGGCTCCAGAGCTGCTACTCTTTCCATTATACTTTAGTATAGAATTCCTCTTTTGTACTGAACAAAAGATGGTTAGTCAAGTGAGCAAGGGCATGATATCACCCTTAACAAAAATTACTCGAGCCAGCATCGGTTACTTTGCTTGTCACTGTGCCAGGTCATTTCTGTCTGTCCTGAGGTTCTAGCAACCCGGAGGGCGGCTGGCTGTGGGGAAGGGCAGAGAAGATGTGCGCAGAGGTGGGGAATGGGGATGCTTGCCCAGCTCCATCTCCAGTTGTTGGAAGGGTCAGATGGCATTTCTGTGGTGATGGAGAGGTTGGTCAGCACTTGGGAAAAAGCACAGTGTGTAATGTAAAATAGATAGCTAGTGGGAAGCAGCTGCATAGCACAGGGATATCAGCTCGGTGCTTTGTGACTACCTCGAGGGGTGGGATAGGGAGGGTGGGAGGGTGGGAGACGCAAGAGGGAAGAGATATGGGGATATATGTATATGTATAACTGATTCACTTTGTTATAAAGCAGAAACTAACACACCATTGTAAAGCAATTATACTCCAATAAAGATGTTAAAAACAAAACAAAACACAGTGTGTTGTACAGGTGAGGTAACATAGTGTTATCTGGGGTCCCCAGTGTGCTGGTGGAGGGTTGCTTGTCAATCTTAAGCCAGTTTGCCAGGCAGGTCTGACACACGTGGGGATGGACTTCTTTCTCTCAGACTCCAACGCAAAAGGGGCCATTCCCTGTGCTCTCAAGCCATTGGCTTCCTGGGGGACCTGATCCTGTCATTTTAGACCTTGTTTTTCTCAGCGGTAAAAGGAAGGGGCTGGCGTTAATCTCCAGTGCCATTTTAGCTCTTCAACAAAGTGTGTGTGCGTGTGCATATTTGCGATTAGACACCTTTAATATGACATTTTGTTTTCCAGCGAGTGAATGTGCTTAGAAAAAAGAACTCATGTCAAGATAAATATATTAATTTGGAAGATATAGAAATCTTGCTTCCATGAAAGCAGTGAATAGAAATGAAGCTTCTGTTAATGAAAAGGGACGGTCACTTTTTAAGGCCTTCTCTGCAAAAGTTCTTATGTACTAATAATGTGTATCAGGGAAGGGTCAAATCCATTAAAACTCTCCCAAGTGGAACAAGTGACCTGAATTACTTGTTTGCTTAAGTCAAACAGGAAAGTTCTTCTTCCTTTGAACTTAAATAATTCCAGGAAATGCAATAAAGAAGCTGAGAGAGAAAGAAAGCATTGAGACAGGACTGAGTTTTCATAGTTACACAAGCTCTGGTACTACCTACTACCGTTTTTATGCTTCATGCTGCTCAGAGTGTTAAGACCATTCCTGTTCTATGCTCTTGTTTTTCTTCTTCAAACTGATTTCTTTTCAGTTCTGTTTGTTGGAGGGCTTCAGCTTTTGAACATAGCCCATGAAGTAGGAGCTTTTTTAAAACGTAAATGAAATAACTTTTAAGATTTCACTTTTCATTTACCATCACTCCACTCTACATTCAGTTTAAAAAGTTAAATAGCAATAAATGTTCTATTTATAATTTACTTTTTCTTCCCGTTCCAAATCTCTTTCCAGGAAATGACCCATTCATGGCCTCCTCCTTTGACAGCAATACACACGCCTAGTACAGCTGAGCCCTCCAAATTTCCTTTTCCTGCAAAGGTAATTCCTTACAAGTCTAGCAGGCACTGCATCCACACCAGTGACAAGTGTGAAGTATCGCTGTGTGCCAGATTAATCAAGTAGTATTTGTTGAAACTCTTTAGAGATTAGGTTAATATTGCAATTAATTTAGCTACTAAAGTGCTTCCTAATGCTTTCAAATACTTCACTCTCCAGTTATGTCAGTAAGAACATCTTACATTTGTATAGGGTTTTGTAGCTTATGAAAGTATTCAGGAGTTTACAGTAAATTCATTTTTGAGGTTCTTTACTTCAGAAGAGGTACAGGAGAATTAAGTGAGGTAAGGTGTCTGCTTCCTAGTTCGGGACTTAGATACGTTACAGATACACATTTACACTTGTCATACCTCCTACATTTTCTTAAAGTTTAATGCAATCAGCTGCATTCGTGGTGGTTTTAATAGCAAGGTGAACTGCCTCCTTGCACATTTCTGTTAAAGTATTTGTGAACAGTATATTAACAACACTGTCCCCTTGCCTTTTCTACTTTTGGATAACATTCAGAATATAGAAATAACACCTTCAGATCTGTGTTCAGTCCAGCCTGTTACACATGCACATTGTTAATATATTATCACTCTTGCTTTCCATGATGTCACTGAGGTTTTATCTACCCAAACCAGAATTTACCATGTTAGATACTTTACATATTTTCTAATGATAGTTTTTTTCTCAAAAAATGTAATTTAGTATTATTGATTTTAAGGTAAAACATTATACTTTGTGTTGAAAATCCTTGACACCAAAGGGAAGAATAAACTTTAGGAAACAACAGAAGCAATACAACCTATTTTATTAAAAATTAGATTTATCAATATTTATCAGATTTAAGTGATGCAACCTTGGATTTATAAACCTTAATATTTTATTAACTAGAGATTTTTATTTTTCTTTCTAGGATTCTCAGCATATCAGTTCTGCAACCCTAAACCAAAGTAAGTAAATATGTGGAACTGATTATTGCATTGGAGAATAAAGCGTGTTTTTACTGTTTTAATGTAGAAAACATTAATGAAAAATGCTCCAGCAGAGATGAAGACTTCCTATGGTTAAAGAATAGGAAGGAAGGGCAAACATAAAGCTGTTCTTTAGGTGGAGTTTCAGGTTATTGCAAAGAGTTAATGAAGATGTCTTAGTAAAGTACCTAACAAATAAAATATAATTTGGTATTACCTCACATAGGATAAATATCTTGAGAGTGACTCTAAATGCATTGTTACCCAGGAATTGTATATAAGAATAGATTGGGGTATTTTGTGTGTTTCTTGTATTTATTTTAAACAAAACCAAGAAATTTTTATAAGGAAGAGAGCACATAGCTTCTCTAGACCTTCTATATGTATTTGTCATGTAATTCTTATTTTGGTTCCTTTTAATGGATTGTAAATACTTGAGAATTCAGTGGGAAACAGAAGAAAGCTAACTAGATCCAGCCTTTCTCTTTATCAGTAACCTCTTGGTTCATGAAATTCTTTGTGTCCCAACTACATACAAGGCATTTCAGGCCTTACAAAAATGACTGGTGTATTTGCAATCATTTAGTTCATCAACATATGGTGAGTGCCCAAGTTATGAAGTGTTAGTTTTCAAAGGATAGGGAGACCAAAGTAGGGTGCGTGGTGTGCATATATGTGTTGGGAGAAGATTGCTCATAGATATTCCATAGAGGTGACTCTTCTTGAAATATCTCCACCTTAGTCTTTTTCCTCACCTGTGTTTTTCCCTTGGTTATCCTGTTGTTTAAATTGCAAGGATATGAGGAGAGTAAAAAGGATGAGAAAAACAAGAAATGAAATAATCTTCCTCTAGAACAGGGTTAGGCACACTATAGCCTGAGAGTCAAATTTGTTGTACAGCTAGTTTTTGTAAAGAAGGTTTTATTAGGACACAGCCGTGCTCATTCATTTATTATTACGCCACAAGGTATGGCATGCAAAGTCTAAAATATTTACTATCAGACCTTTACAGAAAATGTTTGCTGCCCCCTGCTCTAGAAGTACTGAATAAGACTTTGCAAATAACTCCTAACTGATTTCCCCCAGAGACTTCCCTGGCGGTCCAATGGTTAAGACTCCATGCTTCCACTGCAGGGGGCACAGGTTTGATCCCTGGTCAGGGAACGAAGATCCCATATGCTGTGTGGTGTGGCCAAAAATAAATAATAAAAGTAAATAAATTTCCCCCAGATGCAGAGAGATAAACCTGATCGTCTTGCACAGTATTGGGGAGACTGGGAAATCTTTTTTTCTCAACATCTTGGCAGCCTATCCAAAGATAGATAATGGGTGAAGTGGCATAAGTCTGCAGGTGGGTCACCAGCTCAGCTGTGGGCAGGATTGCTGTGCGTTCCTTTACCTCTTGCCCCTCACCCCACCCCCAAATTTGCTAGGGCTGCCAGTCATGCAGATTATATGCCTTCCACTGAATTACTTACAGCTTGCATGATTGCTACCTCCTGGTTTAGAAAGACCCTGTAATCCTTTAAACTGTCTGATTTCTCCTTTTAGCAAAATATAGTTGAACATGAGCTGGTAAGCACTTTCTTGGCCAGTGGTGGTGGCCCTCCAGGCCTGTGGAATAGTGTAGGCTGATTCCTCCTTGCCCTGATGAGAAGTTTTCAGACACTGGCAGGTCTCCTGTAGGTCTTGGCTCAGCAGATGCTTACCTTGGGGTCTTCTATGCTGCTGCTGGAAACCCTTTCTACCTCTGTGAGAATGTGGCCTTTGGGGGGCCTAGTTGGATCCTGGAGGGGTCTGGTTGTATGTTGGATGAAGAAGGAATGGAGTGTGTGCAGATACAGCTTTCAGAAAAGTGGAGTGTGACATATATTTCTCAAAGTATGCCCAGCAAGATAATTCAGATTTCTTGAAAAATTGTGGTTTTTTGAATAAACGAATGGGGGCTGTTGAATAGTGGGGGGATGGGTGGGAGCACAGTGGGCCAAGGACAGAGTCTATAAAAGGGAGTGCTAGCAAATCACGAATAGATATGTGACGTGAAACCAGGTGAGGGTGACTGCAGCCCCATCCTAGTGCTTCCACAAGGGAACCCCGCCAGCTGACAGTCTGTAGAGAATGAAGTATAGGGATTTTACTTGTATGTCCCAGTATTTATGTTCGCGTGTGCAAAAAACACGGCTGCCTAAGGATTACCAGAGCCTCGTTGAGCTTAGGACCGGGTCAAGATGACTGTGTAGGAGTACATGTGAGTGTACTTCAGCCCCTCTAATTTGTAGTGCCAGCCCTAGCTTGCTAGCCAGAAGGGCAAGCAATTTAAAAATATCATATAAGAGCTGCTGCCACCATGAGGATAAAGTGTTTAATTGCAAATATTCAAGGGCCTCCACATGACATTTGTGGCCACTCACCCCTGTCTGAAAGGCACCCGTATTTCCATTCCCCTTCTGCTTCAGGTCCATATTACCTGAGGCCTAGACAAACACAGCCTCCCAGCTGGTCTGCAGCCTCCACACTTAACATTTCCCATTCCTTTCTAGGTTACATCAGGTAGCACCAGCAGGTTAATCTTTCTGAGGAATAGCTGCATCGTGCTTTGGAGATGTCTCATTCCCTGACAACTGAAGTTTTAACATCCTATTGTGGCACTCAGAGCCCTCTAAAATCTGACTTCCCTGGTCCCCCCATGCTGCCCACCACACACTCTACACCCCAGCCTTCCCCTGTCATAATCTGTACCATTTCAACTCCTCCCATGTTAGACCTTCGCTCACTGTCTCTTCTGCCTGAAGGCCTTCCCCACCCTCATCTCCCTCTTGCCAGCAGTCATTCTGTCAAAATCTCACCCATCCTTTGTGACACAATTAATTTTGTTTCTTTTCTAATTTGCCGCCTTTTGTCATGACCAACAGAGTGACCAATCTGTAGATTCCTGGGACAGTTCACTTAAATGATTTGTTTTCGTGCTGATTTTGCATTGCCTAGGGTTGTAGATAACACGTGCCTGTTGGATGTCCCTCAGTCAGCTGTACACTCATCGAGGTCTGGGTCAGATGCCTTGAACATCTTGGTGTCTAATAGGCAGTTGGTAAATAGCAGTTGAATAAACGAATGGGGGCTGTTGAATAGTGGGGGGATGGGTGGGAGCACAGTGGGCCAAGGACAGAGTCTATAAAAGAGTGTGCTAGCAAATCACAGATAGATATGTGACGTGAAACCAGGTGAGGGTGGCTGCAGCCCCATCCTAGTGCTTCCACAAGGGAGCCCCACCAGCTGACAGCAAGGAGAGTCTCCTGCCCATGGCAGTGTGGTCGGCATGCCGGGTGGCACTTTCGAAAGTGTGTTCACTCTTTTTAGGGCTTTCCAGTTCTGCGCAAGCCCTCTCTCTAGACGTAACATAAATGTTATTTTATAAGCAGTGTATAGCACTCTGGTTGACATAATTTAAGTATACTGAGTGTTTAGGTTAAAGTGGGGGGACAGCAAAAAAAGAAGGAATTTATAGCTAACGATCTCATGAATTTGTCATTGTTCTCCTCTGATCATTTTTCCCTCGCTCACAGAACAATATGATACATCTTCAAAAACCCACAGTAATTCTCAGCAGGGAACATCGTAAGTAAAATGCTTTTGTTTGTTAAAAGTTTATAATATAACATTGTAATTTCCCATGTAAATCTGTTGCTTAGATTTTTTTTCCTCCTTGCTTTCAAGTAATGACTCATAAAATACTGCTGCAGTGTAAAGGGAAGAAATGACCAACATTTCTATTTGGATTAAATTCTCCTGTTGAAGGTTTAGGTACCTTAAGAGTTTGCTAAGGGGTTTTCTCAAAAAGAAAGGCATTTGAGCCATTATTTACATATTAACTGTGGAAAATAGAAGGTTTTAGCTTTATAAATTTCAGTCTTAAATAGTTTTAGCTTGTGGAAACAAATTTTGGGGGATGTGCACAATTTCAGACTTTCTGCCACTTTTTTGGCCTAGTTTTAACTAATAAAGAATGAGTCTTACTGCCCAGCTGTGCTTTATTAAGGCCAAGTAAGTCCAGATATATTTTGGGTTTTTGGAACAGTTGAAACTACAAAGTAAAGATTTTTAAACCAGCATTTTGCCCCAATTTGTCATTTCTTGGTGGTGTTGAACAAGTATTTCTTTCTTTTCATGACTAGCAGTGGTTCAGGGACTAAGTGAGGAGGCCTTTCTCTCCTCAGTATTTGATCAGTTACTAACACAGAGTTGCTAGTCTCTGAGGATATCAGGTTCAAGCTCCAGCTTTCTTCTATTTTTGAGGCTTAGTATTTGTTCCGTGTATTTTGGGAGGGGGTGTTGCTGTGGACTGAATATTTAAAAAACTGTACAGTTGAGGCAAAGAGCTTCTTTTATCTCCTCACCATGACTGAATATGGAACGGGGTTAAATCACTATTCCTACGTGCCAGGTCCTTGATGCAATTGTTTTCACACCTCCACAGCAAAGTAAGATAAAAAGAATAACAATTTGTTGTTGTTGTTGTTAAAAAGATAAATTTATTGGGAGTTCCCTGGAGGTCCAGTAGTTAGTTAGGACAGTGCGCTTTCACTGTGCAGGGTGCGGGTTTGATCGCTGGTCAGGGAGCTAAGATCCCACAAGCTGTGTGGCATGGCCAAAAACAAAAAAATAAAAAATTTTTAAAAAGATAAGTTTATTATAGTTTGAAGGATGGATTTTTGTATGTGTAATAAAAATCTGTTTCATTTGTCGTTCTGGCTGATGGTGAGGTTTTGCTTATTTTTATTGTCCTTTACTAGAAAAAAAAAATTAACCCTATGTTATTCTTTGCCTGTTTCTTTTATGGCCTTTTCTTTTATCCCCTTTCTTTTTGTTTAAAAAACTTTTTTTACCCTTGAGTTCTGAAAGTCTAGAATAACCGACTTAGCTTAACCAACTACCTCCTTCTCTAAATATAATCTATCTGATGGCTGGTGGAGAATAGACAGGACGGTGCCAAGGACCACACTTACAATAATTGTGTGGACTCTCTGTGACTTCCCCGAGGGTTTACACCTTGTGCTGTTTGTGATGGTTGATAGTAAAGCTGTTTAGACCATAAGAGGCCCCGGCTGATGGTCTTTGGAGGGGGCAGCAAGGAAAGGGGAGCTGAGAGCATCCCACTTGGCAGTAAGAACAGAAAGGAGGAGCTCCCTGAGGAATGAGCGGGTGGAAGCAGTGGCACCAAAGGGAGGAAGTGGCTGTGTCCCTGGGAACTGTGTGTAGAGGAAGAAGGGCAGCTGGGTCTGATCTGGGCCCGTGCAGGCCAAAGCTGCAGCCTCCCACACCAACTTTCATCAGCTTTCTGACGAGGTAGTTGCTAGGGATTCGGACCATTTTCCGTGACAATTTTGCTACTCAGAGAAATGGGTGGTTCTCCTGATTAAGTGAGTTAAACCACTGAAGTCAGAGGTGCCTGCAAGTTTATATGCTCATATATTATGACATATGTAGTGTTTTCTAGATAAAAACTATTGGTTTACCCTATATGAAATTACCTAGAGGGGGGACTTCCCTGGTGGCGCAGTGGTTAAGAATCCGCCTGCCAATGCAGGGGACACAGGTTCGAGCCTTGGTCTGGAAAGATCCCACGTGCTACGGAGCAACTAAGCCCCATGCACCACAACTACTGAGCCTGCGTTCTAGAGCCAGTGAGCCACAACTGCTGAAGCCCTCGCGCCTGGAGCCCGTGCTTCCGCAACAAGAGATGCCACCGCAATTAGAAGCCCGCACACCGCAACGAAGAGTAGTCACTGCTCGTCTCAACTAGAGAAAGCCCGCGCGCAGCAACGAAGAATCAACACAACCAAAATTAAAATAAATTGATTAAAAAAGATTCTCTTAAAAAAATTATCTAGAGGGAATTCCCTGGCGGTCCAGTGGTTAGGATTCTGTGCTGTCACTGCTGGGGCCTGGGTTCGATCCCTGGTTGGGGAAATAAGATCCTGCATGGCTGCACAGTGTGACCAAATTAAAAAAAAAATTACCTAGAAAAGAATATTTGTTTTGATCCTAATAAACTTGGAGAAGGAATGAAAGTAGGGCCTAGTACAGGTGAAGAGGACAAGAGTGATAGAGAAAAGAAGGTAATAGACTGGGTGGATATGAAGGGTTGTGTATGGTGGGGCTGGTGGTATTGATAAGTGCCAAAATGAAATGTACCTATGGGAAAAAGAAATCACTTTTATGGAGCTTGGATGAAAGCAGTGTCCCAATTAATCTGTAGAGTACAGTCGTTTCAGAGTTAGTATGGCACATCTCTTAGTGCTCGAAGGTTAATTTGATCTAGTGTCAGCATTAGGGTTCTTTGACAAGCAGTTAAACTGTTTGAATGTCACATAGAGTGGCAGGGAGATGGTCTAATGCACTTTGAATGTCAGGAAAGAAAATGTTAATTACAGGGTCATTTGTACTTCGGTTTTAAAAATCCATATAGGTCTTACTGCTTTTTCTTTCAGAGTTACTAGTATTTGGGCCTCCTTGCAGAAGCAGAGCAGTACATATAAAAGGGAAAAAGAGGGGCCTGGCACTAGAGAATAAACTGTGGAGAGTCTGTATTAACTCTCACATCTGTCCAGGCTTGGGGGCAGGGGACGGTTAGCCAGCTCATAGAGGATGTCGGTGTGAAAGAAATGTGCTAAATCTGTTACTTTTAATCTCTGTAGTTGAAGCTCTAGTTAATTATCAAATGATGAATTCTTTCTACCAGGTACCTCAGGGAGGTGATAAGCTAGGGATCCAGTGCTATTTGCCTCTAAGTTTGAAGCGGGGGAATGTTGGTTTAAGGGCTCCTAGCTTTGGAATCCTCTTCCTTTCCACGACTTGGGTGTGTTGAGTTCTCAGGGCAAAGTACCAAAGTATTTCCTTTTTCTGTACAGCTATTATGTCCTTCACGTGATTGTGGATAGTTCCCTTTCTGTACAGTCAAACACAGTGTCCTAATGTCAGTGCTTTTGCCAACCTCTCAAAAGGGATAACATGTTAATGTTTTAGAAACTATAGAGCAGTTGATGGGCATTATTGTGGCTAACTTACTTCTCCCTCCCTTCCCCTATCCTACCCCCAAACTGCCAAGTCCTTACTAGATGGTGCCCTCCTTTATGTTTCTTATTTTTGCTTCAGAAATCGTCACTACCTATTTAGACTAAGAGACAGAAATGAGCAGTTATAGCAATTTGGAATTTTTATTACTTACTTGGGAAGTTTCTTTTGAAATGAGGGAAATATTTGGATGTGAAGATTGGGATTGTCCTGAAAGTGTGACGAGACGGAATGGTGCAAAGTTAACAAAGGCTGGGAAGAGTCTGATACCTTTTTAAATGAGCCTGAGTTTTAAACTTTTACTCAAAACATTATTTTAAATACCTTGCTAAAGAACTAAGGAAGACCCAGTCTGTCAGTTTACTGCAGTATAAAATCATCATATCAGGACAAGTGTCAGCTGAAATGTCCGAGAATTAAGTCTGAAGAAATGCCTTACTTGTTCGTTTAAATCATATTTGACCTAAGGAAAAAAGTTTTTTACTTTTCTAGGTAGTTCTTTTTGTCTTATTTTAAAAAGTTGTGCTAGATGCAAACTAGTATATATAGAATGGATAAATAACAAGGTCCTACTGTATAGCACAGGGCACTATATTCAATATCCTGTGATAAACCATAATGGAAAAGAGTATAAAAAACAATGTGTATTGTATGTGTGTGTGTGTGTGTGTGTGTGTGTATAACTGAATCGTTTTGCTCTACAGCAGAAATTAACACAACAATTATAAATCAACTATAATTTTTTTTAAAAAGTGCTATATGAAGGTGTCTTACCTGGGATTTTTATTTCAGTTGACAGCTCTGACTTAAAGTGCTGTTTGCTGATAAATGTATGTTTGAAGTAGCAGAGCTCACCCTAATGGGCAAAACTTATAATTTATTTGTCCTTGAGATTATACCCCTATCCCTTATTAACAGTTCTTCAGCTCTTCTGAAAACAAGTAACAAACATTTGTACTGGTCAGTAATACATTTGTAGGTCTACATTAAACCTTCAGCTTCTCAGAATGTAAATGGAGATCTTGTTGTTAATAATAATTCTCAGTTCTCAAATATCTGGCATTGCTGGAAAAAGATGCACTTTATTTTCACTCCAAACTTAACAAGTGGTTGTGAATCCGAAGTTTTTGGTATTCATAACTATTTTATTAATCTAGATATAGAAGGAGATGTTCTGTTTGTTTTCAAGAGAAAAAGTAGAGGTGTAAAATGAAAGAGAATAAGGAATATAGCTGTTTTTTTTGTGTGTGTGTGTGAGTTACCATTAGCCATGCTGTGAAGAAATGAGAATTTCTAATATTGGGTATTGAAGAAATTTTCATGCTTAGGTGAAAGCAAACAAATGGTCATTATGTGCAATGTTTAATCTGCTTATTTCAGAATTACAGTTACTAGGACACATTAAATCAATATTTAGAAAATGCTGAAACTCCCAAATGCAGAATCACCTCCTTTCATAGTAGAATTATAGTCTTTTGGAATAGTCAGTTTAATTCTTGGGGTTCTGGCTTTAGGAGACAATATTCTAGGATCCCTTGCAGGACAATATTTAACTTAACACTGTATACAAATTTATGCCGGAAACTTGCATAATATTGAAGGGATATTTTGGTGAGGCTATGAAATGAAGCATATTTTAAATAATTATAAAAATACTGCTAAGGTGCTGGAAGATCATCTTCTTCAAAGTATTCCTCTTGGAGCTATATATATTTCTTAAATGATGGCTGAACTACTCTGGGAGCACCCCTTTAGGATAACATATACTTCCGTATTTGGTCTTAGACCAAAGGTCAAATAAAATGGACAAGAAG